AGACTTTGATCAGTAGAATTTTTTTTTTTTAAATTATAGTGATAAACTACCTTAATTGTCATAATTCTATGTATTATTTCTAGAAATAATTAAAATTACTAATCATGCCAAACGTTGGTCTGTTCTTGTTTGTGGTGAATGAGAACATTATACTTTACAGTACTGCATCTAATAATCAGGCTTATATTCATTGCTACCATCTAATTTGGTGTTTTGCTGAGTGTGTATGTTGCCACTTTCTAAAACTAACTGTCTGGGTATAGGGCGCCACCAAGTGGTAGATTTTGATAAATAACTCCCAGGGTTTAAATTTTGGGGATTTTTTTTGCATGGGAAATTACTCGTCTAATGATATTCCATCATATATAAGATCAACAAGAACTTTATTAAACCTTCTTATTTCTCTTAAGGTCTCAAGGTTTGAGGGCGTAATCACCTGGGTTAGAGGTGAGACCAACATGTGGTCTTTTGTTTACTACGACTGTGTACCTGTGGGATTATTCTGTGTCAGTGTGTATTTAGATGTTCTAATCTTGGTGTTTTTCCAGTGATTTCTCTTGTTGTAATCCAAATACAGTAGGTGTGTCTTGTTTACCTGAGATTTGCAAGAGTTTGAGCTGGCCAACATGTTTTTTTCTTTCATATGGTTGATTACTGGCATGTTGATTTCCTATTTTTGTTTTCAACTTTCTTCGTCATTTTCATATAGCAATCTCGTCATATGTTAGCATTGTCGTCTATGGAAATTCAATTAGTGGTATGAGCCCTAGTATGAATTTGAAGGGAATCATATTGGATAAATACTTTTGATACTGTTCCTGTTCTTGGTACAGATGTCATGTATTCCCACTGCAAGAAGAATGGATGTTTCTTGACAGTACTCATGAGAGCTGGGCTTCCAGCTTTTGCCTTTTATCTGAGTAAAACATAAAACACTTAAATAGAACTTTACTGATGTGCATGTAGCATAATTTTTTTTGTATTGTCAATTCCATAGCTACATACGTTGCTGAGGAACATTTTGGTGGATTTCTTACCAGAAAGAAAGATGACAACAAGGTGAGTTACTAAGGTATCTACTTTATGTTCAGTAGTAAGCTCTGGAATATCTGAGGTAGTTATCTTGGCATTGCAGGATTTTTGAACAATCATCTTGTTTCTGCATATGTACATGTAATTGTACACTTGAATTAAAGTCCCCAAAAATATTTGTTTTTAGTCCTGACAATATAGAGCAGACGATGTCAACACGGATAGAATTAGAAAGCATAACTCTGACAGATTGAATAACTTTGGCACCATGTTGTTGAAAGATTGATGGATGCTAGAGTGACCTGATGTATGAATTCACGTCTTTGATTGGATAACTGCTTGTTCCTTTGTCAGTACATTTCTGCCAAATTGACAAAGCTCTCAGTAGCATAATTTTTAATTTCTCTATCTAAATCATGCATTTAATTAACAAACTGTCATTATATATATTTTGTGAAAACTAGAATACCCAGTACTTGTAACTCTAATGTCATTGTACTGCCTTCTTGCAAACTACTGTGGAATACTTTATTTTCGCTGGAATTAATTTTCGCTGAAAAGGCTTTTTGGGCATTTTGTATGGAATTTATTTTCACTAATTTTTGATGAGCTTAATGTGAAATGTAGGGAAAAATGTATATTCGCTGGATTTTATTTTCACGGAATCATCCCTTCAGCGAAAATAGCGAAAATAAATTTCAAGTGAAAATAAAGTATTCTACAGTATAACTTCATTGATTGTATTTGTGTCATAACTAATTATTCTGCATTAATCTGTTATCTCTCTTCTTTCTAGGACAATTCAATGAAAAGTAGGAAGGAGTTATTAGAAGAAAGAATAGCAATATCTAAAAAAGAAAAGGTAATTTTATAAAAAGTGGTTAAAGAAGCTTATGTTTTTAAAAAAATGAATAATGGTGAATTTTTAGACTTTTACCTTTTACCATCTTAGCTCCAAGAATCACTGAATATCATGTGCTATCCCCAGAATTACATCAGTGCATCATGAGAAATGTTCTTTGAATGGCCAGTCCATCATTCACTATGTATAGTGTTAATCATATGTATATGTACATTGTGGATTGACACTTTGATTTCAGCAGATATTCAGTGCTCTTCCCAAGTAAGTATCAGTGAAAACATTCACTTACTTAGTCTAATTATTGCAGTATGAACGAAAAACTGAAAAAGAAGAAACAATTGAACTCCGTGAGAAGTTAGACAGCGATTGGAAGGAAATCAGTGGACTGTTAGCTGGTTCCAAGGTAGGCACTGCATTGTATACCCACAGTATTTCCTTCATTTTTATTAGAACTAAATGAATGAATTCTGATATTGGTTATTTGTATGTTACATGTTAATCTTAATGTACTTCATCAATTTTGGACACCATACATCTGACCAAGTGACTGTAAATTCAATTTAGACAGTGCTTTTCTAACAGGATTTGTCAACCAATTAGAGTGTGTCTTACTGGAAATCAACCTGTAACACAAGTTTTGATTGGTGATCATACAAGATATAAGTAGGATTTGAATATGAGATAATCGGTCAGATGAAAGATATTTTATATGTCTGATTTGTGTCAAATTGCAGTAGATACTGTATTATCTCAATTCAAAAAAATATTGTCAAACATTTAATATTTTTGCTGCCAAATTTATTGTGGTATATAATTTCAATTTTATGATATGAGTATGGTGATATAATAACTTTTTCTTTTATCACTTGATTTAGTTAAATTAGCATTTAGTTATTTTAAGACAAAACTCAAAGCCATATTCACTTTGTTAAATGTATGCATTTTTATTTTTAATTAAATTTAATTATATTTTTCCAAAAAACTAAATTATTATCAATATTGATTAATCAACAAATTACTCAAATCTAACTTTAGAGGAATCGAAAAGAGGAAGCCCTAATACGAAAATCTGAAGTAGACGAATATGATATGGCTGTACGAGAACTGAAGTATGAAAGGAAAGCCAAGGTAAGTTTTTATTATTATAAATTTATACTGTCACAAGTAATCAAGCTTCAAGGTCACAATTGATATCATATATCCTTTCAGTGTCAATGTCAGTGTCCAGACCACTTGTCAATGGCAAATTATGTCCATTTATTCCAAAAAGTATTATTATTAAAATGTTCAAAATGTTGCAGCAAATATGACAGAATGGTGTTCAACAGATAGTGTCTATTTCACTCTGATTTGATTACAATATGATATGGTGCAGATTTTATCTGATCCTTCT